CGGCGCTGTATTCGTCATAGCCGTCTAAAATAAGTAGGACTTTTTGTTGGTTACGACGAATGTAATCATACAACTGACCAAAAACCACAGAGTCGTCAGCAGACAATAGTTTGGCCTTTTTTAGCACAGCACAGAAGTCTTTCGTGTTGCAAACATCTCGGAGCTTGATTAAAAGTACAACAGCAAACTTCTTTAGGATTTCTTTATTATCTCGTGACCAGTCCACGACGAGTTTCTTTGTCAATGTCGACTTTCCTATTCCTGGCCTCCCGTACACTAAAATTCTCTTAGGAATTAAATGATGACCATGGCTTGCGAATAGCTCACTGTAATCTTTAAGCTCTTCTTGTGTTGTTCCAGCAAGTTTTCTGTCATCTCTTAGCAGTGTTAACTGTACATACACCTCATCAATGTCCATGGTATTATTTCGGTCCCAAGGAGTAATCATTAACTGGCTCGCGGTACTGTTGTAGCATGAGCAAAGCTGATTTTGACTCCACTCCAAAAAAGCAGTTGCGGCATCTGTTTATAAAAAAATAAATCTCTTTAAACTTAAATCCTCTCTAACGCATTGAGCAGTAGGAAGTTAATTGTACAAGTTTTGTGGTAGCACTGATAATGGTAGTTTTTCTATTGCGGCCATTTACATCTAAGCGTAAAATAAAAATAGAGCCTGATCTCAGGTTAACACTGAAGCAAGATTCTTCCTGCGTTAAGTTTATTACCAAATCTTACATCAACGGTTTTTCAAACAACCTTTTGCGAGGCTGACCTGTTGATCAATTTTTGAGATAATTATAGATTTCAAAACTTTTATACTACAGTTAGTTCACAGTGCACCTGCCTCCCCTTGTTATTTAGTATTAAAAAATCAAATTAACTGAATCATTGACGTTACATCTGGCTTTAGAAGCTGTGTTGTTGAGTGTTGTTGTTTTGTACTGTACATCCGTTGCTCAGGATAATGGTGGGAAGACCTTATGCATTTAACAAATAAGCTAACGAACAGAGTGCAAATGGTAGCTAATTAGACCAGAGAACTAAACAGAGGAGAGGGAAGAGGGTCTTTTTTTAATTAATTGGAACACATGTACTGTAAACGTTTAAATTAGCACCCGCCTTCAAATAAGTGCTCCCGCTTCTAAGGACCAAATAATTTTGCCCAATTATTAGCTAATATACACGACAACCCTGATATGAGAGTTCCAAAAACATTAAGCATGACAGGAAAAAACAAAAAAAAAATTAAAACCAAAAACAAGAGAAAAATGTGAAAGAAACAAGACAACAAGAAACAAGAGAAAAACAACAAGAGGAAGGGAAAATGAGCGGAAAATGTACCTTAAACTAGTAACATGTTGGATTGCTTACATGTACATGTAGCATTAAACAAAGACCCTGTCCACACAAATCTGGATATTTCCGAAACTGCACACTTCCTTCATCACAAGGTGGCCTTCCTCCAACACCAAACCAGTGAATACGCTCATTAAAATATGTGTTTTCAAAAAATATCTGGATTCGTGTGGACTGGAGCCATAAATTGGTACCTGAGGGCCTTGGTAACTGTTCCTTTGATCTGCTGGCTGAGCTCTGCTCTGATACATCTTCAACAAAAAGACATCTCTCAGTTACATTCAAGAAATCTACTAGAAAAAACTGCTACTAATAATGTCACTAGAAGTGCATATCAAGACTAGTAAAGTTTTAACAGTTAAAAAAAGAAAACAAAAATATATATGTTGTGGTTCAATTTTATCCCTGGTTTAAATTTTATTTCCCATTGTTTTGGGGGTCATTATCATACATTACCATACCCCAAAACAAAGGGAAATAAAATTTAAACCAGGGATAAAATTGAACCACAACATATGCACATGTAGCTTTGTGGTCAGCTCAATACAACTGCTGGAAAAACTGACTCATCAGCTAAGAACACTTGGTGGCGGTTGTTCAACCTAAAAAGGTTCTTCTAATTGGGACCCAATTTAACAACAAAATCCACAACTTTTTTGGTTCAGTTACAAGACTGTACTTTAATCTCTTTTTGGTTTAAAATGACAAGAGGTCTCTTCTAATCAATGTTCTTACAGTTTGTAGGTTCCTTGAAGAAACCACAACAATAAGCTACACTAATATAATTAAATCTAATTAAAAAGATGTTATGTGTGGCACCTACCCCGTAATGCAGTGTTGACCTTATGACGGCATCAAGGAAGTACACTGTAACACATCCCTAGTTTCCGTAAAACAACATGCCAAAAAGGGACATAACATTATGAGAAATATTTACCTTGGTAATGAGGCCATGAATAAAAAACACAGGGCTCACTCAAAATGTGTGCAACAAGAGATGCTGCCATCACACTGGCACAGGAAAACCAACTCTCTGAAGGCAACTGAGAACCATCTGCATAATCAGCTATCCCTTTCACAATTAACCACTCAATTTGACAGTCAAATGCTGCTGTAAACACTCCTATAGAACAACAAAAAAAGTGTCACATGAGTTGAAGACAGTCCTACATCAATATAGCTTACATTATTTTTTTGCAAATCTAAAAAAGAAAAACCGAAACAAACTGGAATTGAAGATGGATGAAGAATGTAGAGGATGTGAAATTTGGAAATATCTACATGTACCACCTCCTTCTCAGTTGTGTCAGTTTGGATTGCGGTTATACACTGTAAACAATTTGCACTTTTGTTCTTGTAGACATGCTTCAGGCAGGTATTAGGACCTCTATTCTTCTTCAGTGGTGAGTTGCTTTTCTTTAGTTTTTATTGCAAGGGAGTTTGGGGTTGGTGCTAAATGCCCTTAGGGGAAACTTGGGCCAGTGGCCGGAGACGGGGGAGGGGGGGGCGTACTTAGGCTAATTTTTGCTGGGTATGTGTGGCTGGCCTCTCAGAGCCCCTACCCCATTAAAGTCTATTCTCTGGCCTATTAGAGACCCATCTCAGTCACTTTTGGGCAAACATGTGACCATTACTATTATAGTCACTTTTGATTGATGTATCTACCTATCTATGTATCTATGAAGAACACTTTACTTTTCACCTGCAGTACAAACATTCTGGTAAGTTTGTTAACCTACATTATGAAAAACTGTCTTAACCCCAAAATCAGAAAATGTGCGACTCCATTCTAGTAACTCTTTAGAAAAAGGAACCCCACTATAATCAATCAAGTTGTGAAAATGTGACCCTATCCAGCACACATCGCTATTAGCCTCTTAAAAGGAAGTACCCGCAAGGGTCCAGTGACTCCCCTGTTTGTGCCATGTGCCTTCCCTACACCCATCTATTGCCAATGGGTTTAAATGTGGTAACAGGTAATTTAGGTACGGGTCTCCATCACTAATCATATCTTGGGTGGTCTTGGACTTTAGCATATTAATATTTACAGCCCTTTCCCTAAAGTCAATAATTTTGCTCATGTTACTATGGTGCTTTCACATGCAGTAGCTAAGCTGTTTTTGCTCCCAGCCCTCCCTTCCCTTCACATGTCTGTGTTTTGTGAGTATCTGCATAATTTCTCCACTGAAAGTCTCAGTGACAGTGCTAAGAGGGTGTTGCTCACAGGGTTGTCATGGTTACCTTCCAGGCTTGCTCCAGTTTCACTAGGTACCTTCCCCACACCTATCCTTGCCAATGGGTTTAAATTTGCAGATATTATCATTGAAAAATTGTTGTTCATGTAGCAGAAATCTACATGTAAGTATTTTTATTGCCAAATCGACCTGAAAATATTGCAAGGGGATAAGACAGAATGTGAACCCATGGCCTCTGTGTTAACAAGACAGAGCTCTAACAACTGAGAAATGATGACCCATACATTGGGAGCCGGCGCATCTTTACAGCATATTATTACCAAACAAGCAAACAATCAAACAATGCCTTGAAATGAACACTGAATCAAAAGCAACAAACTTATCTACAGAGTTAAAAGAGACCTGACTGCATACACCTCCTAAGACTAGCTGCATATTAAAAAGTCAACTCACCTTCTCCTTCATTTTCTATTGCCATTGCCTGAGGACTGGTTTCAGCAAGTTGGTCACGTCGCCACTCAGCTCTGACTTGTTCTGGTCCACTTAGAAACTCTGCATCAGTATAAACTTGAACTTGATGTGTTTCAGGGTTCTCAAAAGGAGCTTGCCAGCCATCAGCACAATTCTTAATGACATCCAGAAAGCGTTTGCTCACATAACTTCTCATGCCAGTTGACTGCTCTTGATTGTTGGTCACTACCTTTGATGCATACGTTGCTAATTTGGCAGATACAACAACATCTCCTAACTTGGATTTTGCAGGGTTGAGGCCACTACATGTGCCCACAGAAATAACTGCTTTGGGTCTAAGCACAGAGGCAGCATTCTTTACAGACACAAGAGCACCACCAGGACCAATACCATTTCTGTAACATCTTAATAATGCAACTTTCAGCTCTTCTTGACTTTCACCCACATCAGAAAAGTAAACATAGCCAAGACCATCAAACCAACATCTATAGGGGTTTTTTAGCTCACTGTAACAAGCTAAGAACTCACAGTTTGTAACTGTAAGTAACATAATATCAACAGGCAGATCAGCATCTTTTGATGGCTTGGTTATTGCCTTAATGTCAGCCAAGGATGGCAGAACTTTATTAAGCTCAGGAGGGTCCCTAGTGTCATTTCTTGAAGAAGACTTGATATCAGTAGTAAGCTGGGGTGTATTGCTGTCACTACCCTCTGATGTGCTTGTTGTATCCTGCGAAGATTTGAATATCTTGGATCCTGATCAGTGCATGAATATAAATAAACAAAGCAATTAGTTACTAATAGATAATAAATAATTTGACACTTGGGAGCTCAGAGAAACTCGTTTGAAAGTGTTAATGAGTTCCTGGTAAAATTAGAATTTAAAAGTGTTGGTTTAGTACTGTTGAGCAGGAGTGTATTGAGGCAAAACATGACTGCAAGTTTTGTGAACGGCTTCAAAATCTCTGATATAGTTCAACTCATTCTTGCACTAATATAATTTAGATTTGGGGTTATTTTGGTCCAAAAATTAGATTTACTAAAGTTTTAATAGCCGTGTCTTTGTCAGATATCAAGACACTCATTAAACAATAAATTCTACAGTTTTTATAAGTTATTAATGAGTTAAATTTGAAAATAAGGAGAAGGGAAAACCAGAGTACCTAGAGAAAAACCTTGCAGAGTGGGGGAAAAAACCAACAACAGCAGGAATGGAACCCAAATCACATTGGTGCGAGACAAGGTTAGTATTCTTACCTAATACAGGAGCCCATAAAATGGAACCTCCATCTTCCATACAAGCCCTTAGAGCCTACCCCTTCCCGAGTAGATTTATAATTAGACAGTTCCCAGGGGAGACTTCGCGCGCCAACGGTGGGAAGAGCCAATCACAATGACGAAATGACACTGCTATTGTACAACAACAGGAAATTCGGTGTTGACAGGCCAAACACAATTATAACCTAGTGAAATGTGACTTTAGCGTTTTCATCCCTCAGAGATTTTCTTTCTTTTCTTTCTAGCTGGTAGATTACACTGTGGAGAGTTTTAAAATCTGCCTATGTTAATCTTAATTTTGGTTGCTTGTCTCACATTAAGAGACCATGAAGCTGGTCTGTTACATGCATAATGATTAACTACTACCTGCAGTCATGAAGTTGTGACAGGATTCGTTTTCTTTAGCCAATTTTTTTAAGCGTTAAGGTTATTATTTCGGCTAAATGACTCAATATTAATCAAATTTCTAGTTTTCTAAGGTTTTTAAAAATTTTCGTGGGAAACAAGCTGTTCTATTTATAAATCTATTACTCGGGAAAGGGTTGACTCAAGAAGTTAATGGAGATGGAGGCTCCATTTGATGGGTTCCTGCCTAATAATAATAATAATAATAATTACTGATAATATTAATAATAATGTGCTAGTAGCAGGCTGCAAATAGAGTCAATATAGCTAGTCCAAGAGAAAAGAAAAAGCATTTAAGAGCGACGGTCAGGAAATTAAAAATTGACCAAAATCTTCATTTCATGGCAAGAGTTGAAAACTCAATTCCTTTCATTTTTTGTTCATAGATAGCTGTTAGGTAGATAAGCAACCTAATGTAGATTGTTCCTGCCAAAAGCCTTTTATTTGTGAGAAAAATTAGAAGATCGGTTTTCGATGTTGGAGTTTCAGACAGCCCTAATTTTTAAGCCGCATGGAGAAATTTGGACACTTTCAGTGAACAGAAAAATTCTTCTTCTTCCACTAAAAGATACTTTCAGGGCAATAGCGAAGCTCGTCGTACTGAAATAATTAAAAAATGAGGGATAGGTTTTCAGGATGACAAAAACTTAAGTTCATTACTCATTTTCAACAGCAATATTTAACATGTGGTAAAACTCCAAATTCTCTTCATGCTATTTAAATCACACATTTGGACATTCACTTAAAACATACCTGGGAATTGGCTTGGGTTATTAAAGGAAATCTGTGTAAGACAGCATCGAAGTTCAGGAATTTTCATTGTAGGCCGGCAGTAATTGTGTAAACACTTCCAATTTCGAAACACACAAAAGTAGATATTTACAGCCTAAAGGCTCGTTTTTCGTACTTCTTGTGAGTTTTCCCATTGCAAAGTTGCTTTTTTCATCCAAATAATGGGGTAAAAAGGTGAAACTGGGTCAATTTTAGCCACTTTGAAACACTGAACTCTACCAGCCGGCGACAATGCGTGACAACCTCTTTCCTGACTGCACGTGACATAACATACATTTGAAGACACGGAGCTGTCAAAATGACAGTCACGGAATCAAGGTAGTAACGCAACGGAATTCTTGAAAGAGTAACATTTTCGATGCCGAAAGTCAGTTTTGAAGAAGAAAAATCAAACGCGCTAGTATTCTGGTACTCACTTTTTATTGAAAAATAAGGACTTTAACAATGGTAATTCGCTAAGGATGAGGGAACAGGAAGATATTTCTTCTTGTTACTTCACGATCGAGGAAACCTGGTGCCGTTAAATAAGTTAGTTTGGTCATGCTTCACTATATTTACCGGACTTCGATGCTTTCGTTTGGAGGCTGCCTTCAGGAACCCAAGCCAGTTCTCAGGTATGCTTTGGATGAATGTCTAAATGTGTGAATAAACCAGGACTGGGAAAATTTGGAGCTATACCACAGGAAAAATAATGCCGCAGAAAACAACTACTAAATTAAAGTTTTTGTCACCGTAAAAACCTGTTCTTCGTTTTTGAGCTATTTTGAAAAAATAGCTGATATGTCAGTGGTGTGAGCGTATGTATCTTTGTGGCTTTGTATCTTTGTAACTTTGTAACTTTATATCTTTGTATCTTTGTATGTTCGGATGTTTGTTGCAAGAGCCAATAAGGTCAAAGGTACTATGAGTTGATGCTTAGGAACCAATGAGATCTTGGCATTGCTAAAGGTCGAACAAGGGCACTTTGAGACCGCCATCTTGATTCTTCACAATTTTTTTGTCTTTTATTATGGCTACAGGTGTTTGGAAACATTATATTAAATATCTTCATGATTCAAACGCTGTGTACAGTGATGCAGCTGTTTAAGGGTTCATATTTTAGCATTGATGCTATTTCAAGACATTTCTGACCGAATTCGGCTATCACGAACGGTACTGAGGCACGTATTTTTGAGTTGTGTCTCACCTGCTTCAAGATATGGACTTTAATTTGAAAGTATGCAGCCTATAAAATGTGGTTTTACAAGTTTGAAAGGCAGCTTATTTTTTTTAAAGCTGTACCGAGTATTGTTAATCCTGTAAACAAGCTTTAAAAATATTATTCTCTCGCTTACAAAGTTCAAAGACCTTTTCCGTTCTGTCAAAACAAAAAACAAAACAAAAAAATAAGTGAACAACATGATACATCCTTCCTGCATACTAAGCATTATAGTTGTTGAAATGTATTTTATTTAGTAAAGATGAGTAACTTCAGGGTCCGAAATTAACTTTTTAATACGAGCGCCAACTGGTGATCAAGTATAAATTTTTGGTCGCCAGAGGGCAAATTGTGGTCGCCAAAAATTCCCCCTCCCTTTTTTTCAAATAAAAGTTTAAACACGAATAAAAAATGCATGGTATGGACGTTTTTGTGCTTAAAAATTGCAATACTTCCGCTCCCGATACCAGAAAGAAACCGTACGTGTACGAGTGAAGTCTCATTTTTTCCACAAATTACTTTTTGGAGATATACATGTAAAGCCATCTGATCTAGAACGTAGGAACAGAAAGCTGTCTGCCCATGACTGTACCGGATCATATCAAAACTATTTTCTTCCGATAACTACCACAAAACAATCCACAAAACAACCACGAAACATAGCCGGCATGTTGCTCGTACCAGGCCACATTTTTTTGTGCCACATTACTCTTAATGGCGGCTTGGAAACGTTCAACTCGTATTGATCGTAGCTGTTGTGGAGGTATTATTACAGGGAGATTCATTTCCCTTTTAATTAAAAAATATCAGCAGGACAAAAACGAAGACACCTGTTGGCAAATAGCTTTTCGAGGTTTCAATTCTTAATCAGTTTCTCCGAACGTTTAAGTCCACAATAACAACCAGCTTTACAAGTCGCTAGCTGGCAACCAGCTATGAAATTCTGGTCGCCAGGACTAAATTTTCAGTCGCATTGGCGACCAGGAAGGCGCAATTTCGGACCCTGAACTTAAGTAGAAACAGTAGTGTTAGAGAATAAAATTGGAAGAAGCTAGTTGACACAATAATTAGATACTGTATTATTGAGTGGAGTAACATGATATGAGCAGAAGTATATTTCGGCAGTTTGATAATTTTCTTGGAAGTTAATAAATGTTAGGCTATCAACCTTGACGTTGCACGAAACATAATTTAACTGCAGATGTTGTAATGAAGCCGAGGTGATTTCTTAAGATCGTTGAGAAAATTTTGTAGTAAACAATGTGCGTTTTTTTACATACGAATTGTAAAAGGGCCAAAGACCCACATCTTCACGTGCAAATTGTGTGCATGAGTTATTTTTTATAATTCTGTTTACTAGATTACCGTGTGATAACTCAAATTCCCTCATGTATGAACCACGAAAGGGGGCAAAGTCCAACACTTTCACGTGCCAGTTGTAAGACTGTACATCTCATGCAGATTGGCTTTTCACAATAATTATAACAACTTGAACGTATGAGGACCTGTTTCGTTTTGTAACCAATGCCTTAAAAAAGGCTTGAGGATCGACGCAGCTGAGCGTTTTGCGTTTTCATTTATGTATGGCAATACCCAGTTTTGCACAAAAACCCAGTCTACATTTAGGACGAAAAAGGTAGAGTCATCACTCTTCGCAAGGTTACACTGAAGCATTAAAGTTACACTAAAGCATTCAAAATAGCTCATGCACGTTTAACGTGCCTATGTTTTAACTATGTCAGTTCAACGAGTCTTGATATTGCTTTGAAAGTATCTTCTAGTGAAAGAAGAAGATGGAAAGTTGATGGAAAGTGTTCAAATTTCTCCTTGCGCCTTTATGTGCGAACGCAAGGAGAGTTGATGTTTGCAAATTTCGGGTTGAAAATACGGCCACTTTGAGACTCCCACCACGAAAACTAATATAATTTTTTACTTTTCTCAAAAATAAAATGCTTTTTGCGAGAACAACTTACATCAGATTACTTATCTAACAAAAAGCTATTTTTGGACAAAAAATGAAGGAAATCGATTTTTCAACTCTTGCCACTCGATGGTCGTTATTTCCTGACCGTCGCTCTTAAATTAACCTGGCTAATTTTGCTACTAGTGCAATATGAAATAAATTGCTTGTATTTTATGTAAATGCCTAAATTAGCAACAGGGATGGTTATTAATATTATTTTGGGTGGTAGGCAGGGAGTGCACTGATGATCGTAATTTGTTCTTCAGAATTTCTTCCCCTTCTTAAGAACAAAACCTCTAACATGAAACAGAATCGAAAACTGGAACATATCTTCCAGTGAAAACCAAATTTCACTATCCTGTTGTCAAAGAGCTATTGCTATCCTCGATGCAGACTGCCAGCAGCCCTTGAAGAAATCCATTCGGCTAGAATAATTATTTGTATCAAATAAATCTTAACAGTTTGTTAAAAATAGCCAAATAGTTCAGTATATAAGTCGACGGTTTCAATGCCAATCATCCATCTTTTTCAAAACTAAAAACCACCAATATTTATTGAAAGGTGTTATTAGGAGCCATAAATACAGGCTTCTGATATTTCGCAGAAAAAAAGCAAAATTTCACAGGATTTTCAGGGGCAAATTCACGGAAAAATCTGCTGAAGCGGTGTAAGGGCGTCATGTAATATTAAGCAAGTGTCCTTTTTCTTTTGCGGGTCAAAATAATCGGACAAATTTAACTACTTTGTTTTAAAATAGATATTTTATTATTCCTTTACATTCAAACTGCCCGTTAAACAACATTAAAGTGGTTTTTCTCCTTTGAAACCTGGTAAAACAATGTAAATTAGCCCTGAAAAAATCGGACAATTTATCGCATAGTAGTCCTTTCTTATCGCACAATCTACCCGGAAAATATCACGGAATTTCTGATTTTTTATCGCACCTTATCAGATGGCCTGGTTACTGGTGTATTCAAGATAGATATACGTACTCAGGGCTCGACTAAACTTCAATTCCTGCCTGTCCTTTGGGCAAGCAGCTCTCAAATGTTGCTTGGCCTGGGCCACTTCTTGCTCGTCTTAGTTAATGATTTCGTTGGAAGATGACTTGCTTAGACCCTTGCCCATAGGGCAAGTGAATTTAAAAAGTTACTTGCCCCAGACGGGACTTTTTTCGAGCCCTGGTACTTTATGCAGTGTATTCACTATATTCTAATGAGGGGTGGGTTGGGGGTATACAGTATTCCAATAAAGGAGGGGGGGAATGGGCATTTACAGAATTTTACATTATTTAATAAAAAGTGAAATTACCTTTGTCATCTGAGCCTGCAGCCACATCTAATCTTCTCTTATTTTCTTGCATGGTAGTAACTTGAAATGGTTTCTTGTGAGCTGGTGACTTGAATCAATTTATAAATATTTAAAAAATAAACAAAGAAAACAAATGCAAAGCAATTACTGACAAAAATATTGTCTGTGCATAAGCTATTGATGAAGTTGTAAGAAAAAAGAACACAAAGGAAAGTTGTGGCAATGGACATAGGATGCACGTTTGTGACATATCATTGGACTTCAACATGGGAATTAAGCACCATAAGTGATGGATCGTGAAATGTTGATGACGTTGTGTGAAAGATGACCAGAGATTTATCTGTCATGAACTGCAATGTGAACATTATTCACCAAAGGCCACACATTCACAGTGATGAGAAACCTTTGTGAATTATAACAAAAAAAAAAATACATCTGACAGAAGATTGAAAGTGTCATAGAACACATACCTGTAAAGTGAATTGTATATTCTTGTCTTCTTCAGATCATGTTGGTAAAGGTTTCTTGACACGTGTAGCAGGATTTCACACATCTGTTGTTTCTCCTGAATTTATCTTTTTTCCCCGAAGAAAAACAAAACAAAAGAACGCTATAGCTACATGTAAGGAAAACATTATGCATGGAGGCATTTGGAATGCGTATTTTATGCGCCGATCAATGCAAGAGTAGGTATAAGTTCGCTCACCTGCACAAGTACTTGCGTCGAGGCTGCTTTTATAGATGAATCGGAAAGAATGCCATAAAGTTGAAAAGGACAATGTTTCAGCAGAGCACAGCCAATCTTCATTTCTTCCCCTACAGGCTACATAATGAAACGCTATATAAGACAATAAATGCCAGGATTTCAAGAAATTTCACCACTTCCGCATACTTACTCAAAGCGCATGGCAGTAATTAATCAGTCGCTGTGCCAGCCTAGTCCCCAGGCGTTCTAGGCTCGGTCAATCCTGAGGTGCTTTCCATTACAGCAAGGAGCCCAAAAGTGTGACCTCATTTAATTAATACACATTCTTTCATGCAGGCATTAACCAATCAGAAGTCGAGGACAGTTTCCAGCTGGCTTCTGATTGGATTAAATCTGCATGAAAGAATGGGAATAAATTGAAAGCAGTCACTTTTGGGCTCCTTGCTGTAACACAGACCAACAGGGTGGAGATCTTGTTCATAAAAACAAAACTACAAAATTTACCTGTTTAACGAGGTGGGAGAACGACCCACTAGAAAGTGTATCCATGAAATCAGCTGAACAGACTAAAGAGAGTAGAAAAATTGCATCACCTCAAATCACAGCCCATGTTTTATGAAGCTTCCCAAACGTACGTAATGGCGCGAACCATTTGATTATGTAAATGGTAAGTACCACTGGACTCTACCGTGAGCTGTAACGTCACCGAGAGAGACTCGCCGAGAACAGACTTCAGACTTTGCGCGGAGAACGGGGCAAGAGAGAACACCTAGGGACTAGGCTGGCGATAATGATAACTT